AGAGAGAGAGAGAGAGAACAGGTGCACAACATGATTAAAGAGGAGAGGGGATGATGAACTGAGTCAGCACAGGTGTGTACACACACACACGCACACACACACATGCACACACACACACACAGCACGACACAAATCTGTCATTTCATGTTAGATACAAAGAGCAGAGAGAGGAAACAACTAAACATCTCTTCTCCTCCTGCTGCCTCAACACACACACACACACTCAAACGTCACGCCCCGCGCGACACACACCACCACATACACAACCACACTCACCGACGACACATCACACACGCCAACACACACACACACACACACACACACGCACACGCAACGCACCACACCACACACACACACACACACTCACACACGACACACACACACAACACATCACACACACACACACACACACACGCACACACACACTTGCAGTATGACATTTGAGCTGTTTTGAGTTTTTAGGGGATATTAGAGTACTTGAAAAATGTGACACACACACAAGGTGTCTGTGGCTCAGTTGGACTTTTGTCTGGTGAATAGATGAAGAGAGACAGGAGACACACACACACACACACACACACACACACACACACATACACCAATATACACCCTTTTAGCACAAACACATCACAGATGCAGCGTTACAGAGTGAGAAAAATGCCGGACCATAATGCACTGCCTGAGGCCTCCAATTCTATGTGTGTGTGTGTGTGTGTGTGTATGTGTGTGTGAGAGAGAGAGAGAGAGAAGAGGAGAGAGAGAGAGAGAGAAAGAGACTGAAAGAGATTCAGATCATATTAACCAGATGAAGAATATCAATAAATGTTTGAATCGTGGTTCAGTGTCAATATTAATTCAGCTTCATGAGCTTTTTGTTTTTGCTGCTTCAGCTTCACAGCCTCCTCAATGTGGTACGTTCAAGGAAGCTCAGACATCTGAGACTCCATGAAGACAAAAACAATAACGATGTGTGAATCGGGTTGTTTCTTTGAATCCATCACAACCAATATGTCCTCTGTGTGATGATAAAGTAACTTAAAACACAAGATAATAATAAATAAATACAATTGTAAACGAGCTGCATTACAGTTCCAGTCTCTTTAAGTCGTTTTTCAGAGAAGTTCTCAAATGTAAAGTAAAATATTTCCATAGACCTGTAGTCCCACTCCATAACAACAATAATAATAATTCCACCAGGCACGTTTTTATAACGCTATGTTTGTGACGCTGTCGTCAGAAGCATCTTCAGGGCGCGTTGGCTCCTCGACGTTGTCCAGAATTGTGTCTTTTTCTTTTCTTCTGCTTAAAATCTCCTCTGACTGACTCCTGGCCTGGTGCCATAATGTTGATGTAGCTTGAAATTCTGTGTATTTTATTTTGAAATTTGACTGGCTGCTCTATCCTGTTTCTGTGTGTGACTTCCTGCCAGTGCCATCTGCTCTGTGCTGCTTGACGCAAGTGGGTAGTGGCTTCCGTCAGAAATAGACTGGGCACGTATTCTAGGAGGAGCAGAGCTGAGGGACGCTTCTGAGACACGCCGCAGCGCTTCTGGTGGACTTTAGAGCGTCGCCCAGAACGGGGGTGTGCGAGCAGCTCCGGCGATCTGCAGCGGTGGAACTTGGGGTGAGGCGACCGCACGGAGAGCGTTTCTGCTGCTGCCAGCTGTATCTCTCTATACTGAGTAACATAAGATTCTGTGCACAGACACAAGAGAGCTTTTAATCTGAAACAGACACAGGAAGTGTTTATATAATACATTAATATTTCTGTTCATGTCTGTACGTATTCTACAGATATAGACTGTAGTGAGAGGTGTGTGTGTTGATGGTATATTGTCGATAGAACTTGGAACTGACCCTATTTTTGCTCGCTCACGGAAATAATAGTGCGACTGCTCTGATCTGTTAACCTGGCTGCCAGGCCTGACACTGCCAGACCAGGTGTCTCCTCGGGTTTACAAAGTCAGTGTGTCCTGATTTAACTAATTAAATAATTCGGTTGGTACCCTTAAAAGTACCCAACCATAGACCATACACACACACACACACACACACCAGCTGACAAACAGGCGAATGTTAGACCGTAACCTCAGGGGGGAACAACAGCTGACTCACACACACCTGAGCTTGTTTACGTCAGACGCAGGTGCATGTGTGTGTGTGAGATTGCGTGTGTGTGTGTGTGTGTGAACTAGCAGACAGTCAGATCTCCTCCCTACCTCCTCCCTCTCCTCCTCCTCTTCCTCAGAGGCCTCGCTCTGCTCATCCTCCCCCTCCTCCTCCTCGTCCTCCTCCTCCTCTGGGAACTCCACGTCGGACTCCCCGGGGGCGATGGGGACGCTGATGGTCAGGTTCGGGTTCGTCATGTAGCTGTCGTCCTCCGGCACCACGTACTTCTCCACGTGGCGGCCTGAGACACAGAGAGGGAAGTAAAGATCATAGAAACAAATCTCAGATCTCCCAGCGTCCTTGAATGCCCCCGACTTTGAAAGTGTGTGTGTGTGTTTGTGTGTGTGTGTGGTACCTATGACCGCCCCGTTGGCCTCAGTGTGGATGGTACTCAGCCGTTTGAGCTTCATCATGGCTTTGGCCTCTTTTCGCTTCTGACGGCGACGCTTCAGGTTCCCGTTGAAGAAATCCACCACCTGCAGAGCAAAGACAGCGTGAGATGTAGAACTCACAGGGTGTCTGTCAGACAGTCTGTGCAGCTAACAGACAGACAGGTACCTGTCTGCGGCACCAAGCCAGGCCTCTGGTGATCCTGTGGATGGCGATATGCAGGTTGTTCATCTCCCCGTCGTCGTCCGGAGCAGACAGGTTGTCAGAGCTGAAACTGCTGAGGAGCAGAGCCAGGAAGAGGTTCAACAGCTGGAGACACAGAGAGAGAGAGAAACACAGAGAGACAGACAGATGTACAG